GGGAACGGAGGTCCACGAGGAAAAGATTTTGCAATCTTCCCTAAAGATAAGCACAGGTTTTCTTTGAGCACGGCATATAAAACGCTGATATCACAGCTCGATAGTCATTCAGAATGGAAATCGCCTTACGGGATTGCGTTTCCATTTTTATGTTTGTCAAACTGTACACGATATATGCGTACCAGCGATGCAAATCGGAAACGAGTCGTAAATTCTTTACCAACAATATACCTACGCCGGTTTTATTCTCTTTTGTAGAGAGATCGTAGGAAACGCAATGTTGTAAATGCATTTCTCTTGCCGACACGTTTTCTGCTACATTTTTCATGAGTCCGCAAACCCTTCTGCTTCTACTATTTGATGGATAAAATGGGACACGATTTAATCTAATTTCCTTCGAACAATTCTTACTTTCGAGTACATACAATCTTTATATACTGCGACGACCAAAATTTTTATGTAAGACAGAGTGACAACGAGGTGCATTTGCAATGAAAAGCTGGGGATACGTATGAACACGTCAAGTCTAAAGTCTATTTGTTATTAGATTTTCAGTCGCTCGATGAACGAATGAAGGAAATATTATATTTGTAGCGAGAGGCGAACATAAAAAATGACGATTTTGAAGTGTTTCACGGCGGCCGTGACGGCAGCAGTGGAGCGAAATTAAGTTTGTAGGTCGATCGATCGCCCGGAAGAGGAACGACATTCCACCGGATGCTCTTGGCCCATTTCGCGCGCATTTGTTCCACGAGGTCCCCGGCTTGGTTCTCACCGAATTGCGTTCTAAATAATGCATCATTCGTCGGAACATTTGGCCGGCATGAAATATCGCGGGCATAAAGGTGATGTAAGAGCCTAGGGCTCGTTCGATCGCTGCTTTCAGGACACCGCGCGCACCGGCGCGAGCAGGCTGAAGAAAAATGAAATTCAGATGCCCCCGTTCGCCATCTGGCAAATATACTTCACTCGATAGAACCTATGCGAATTGATGACCATGACTCCGGGCGCATTTGTCAAGATTTTTATAATAATGTTATACGCGCTCTTCGTTTTCGTCTCATTGTTTCAGACTCTGAACCGGATAGATTACCGGGGAAATTCCCACTCTATTAATTGAAGGATACAAGATCGAACTTTAAGTTGTAATGATAACCGACATTAATTCGCTAATGTACACATTAGATGTTTTATAAAAGAGAAAAACTAACTTCTTGATTCGAGTCTGAATTACGACGGAGAAAGGGTTGATTGAAATACAGTAGGTTGACCGATCGTATCGAGGGCATTGTTCGGGAATATTTCAGTCGACTCATTCATTTTTCATTTCGCTTCGTCCAGGAAAACTAACAATCCGACCCGCTTTTTTAATCTACATGTCAGCCGCACGCCGTGAAACGGACGAAGAAAATGAAAGGAAATAGAGTGGAGGGGGGAAAAAAGCATATGAATTTCGCGCGCCGAGGGAAGTGCATTATTTAGATGCAATTTTTTCGAGTATCACTGACGCGCGAATAACGGTGGGGGCTCGCCGAGCTCGGCTGAGAAGATTAATGTTTTCGATCCGGCATCCGTGCGCGAACTTTCAATCCTCTCCTTTCGCATTCTCGCCAGTTTCATACAAAGTCCGCGAATAACGCGAACAAACCACCACCATAGCTTGCCCGTTCCTGGACATCTCACTCCGCCACGGTTCGCGGGCTACCGTGAAAGGTCTACGGGCTCTCCTTTATGTATCCGTTCTTCAAACGAACGTGAACAATTTTATTCAACGAAATTTCAATTGATACCGCGCGTTCGTATCCTTTAAACGATGATCAGTAAATTCATATCAGGAATTTATTCGTCTAACTTATTATTATATCAATTATCCGTCGTATAGTTTTTCCCGTTGGACTTCGAGTCACTACATGAAAGTACAGAAAGTATTTCTTCTCCGAGGCATATTTCCTGCGCTCGAGAAGAAACAGAGCTGCGTTTCAGTTGTTAATAAAAATATTTTTGGTTTTAGAAATTAATGTACACTCTGAGATATGTGCGAAAATTCCAACCAATTTTGTTGTGAATACCTCAATTATTTATTAATAGTGAGATTATGTGAACCATTGCGTCACGAGACATCCGATTGAATTCAAATCATTGAATTTTCGAAGTTCAACAATTTTACTTTATACTTGAAGCTTGAACCAGCTTGAAATAATGCAAATGTTGAACCTCCACAGCCTTAAATTCTCTCGGTTCTTTAAGCTCCGGTTTCTTTAAGCATTCGAATGTCCTACTTGTGCCTGACCTGACCCGCTGAAGCTTCCATCAAAGTTGAATAAGACGGACTACCCGATGCCCTTACCGCGTAAATCATTCCGTCTTCGGGCGACACGGATATCAGAGGCGAGTCGAAACGTCTCCAAGAACTTAATTGCGTCCCCTCGTACATTTACTTGCCCCCTTTCTTCGTACACGGCCCTTCGAATTAAACGCTCTCCCAGCCCGAGCCCATTAATGTCCGTAGCTTAATTAAACGGCACGATTAATTGCCGTTCGGTCATTCAGTCCGATAAATCTACTTACCTGCGAGGTTTACTTTCGATTCGACATCCCTCAGCCGAGGAAATCCCGAGATTCTCGTGTTATTAATAAATCGCGATCTACCATCGGTGACAGGTTTACGTAACGGCAAATGTGCCTAACGAACGATACGTAATCGAGTAAAAGCCGAGAATAATAATTAGCGAGATTTAATTGTTAATCGCGGGTAATTAACCGAACGATTCCCTCGTATTTAACATTAGCTCTACCGCGGGGGACGGGGAGTGGGTCAAAATGACTTGCTTGGCATTTATCATAATCATTATTCGTTTTCAGTCAATTTTCTTTTCTAAAATATAACAGTTTTCTCTCTTTCGTGTTTCTTATGTAAAATTTTATGTTCGATTACATAATTACATTCGATCTCGCGAAAAAAATGGCATGATGACTCACGACGATATGATTCGAATGGGTCCAAAGAGCTCCTAGATGATCAAACCAAACCCTGTCTACCTTCCGATTAAAACGTTCTTCTCCGATGAGCCACCGACGCTTTTTACCGTTCGCAAAGAATAACAGGTCGTTGGAAAGTATTTCCATTTGAAGAATTTCCAACAAATCGTTCGCAAAGTGAATTGTCACCGTTAAAAGAAACGTCCATTTGACGGGAGCCCAATGAATAAGACGTCGCGCTCGATCTAACGACTGGGAGATAGGAAGAGGGAGGTAAAAAAGCGGCGGCGCAGCGGGGGCGATAAAAGGGCCTCGGAACTCATCAGTCATGTCGCATCACGTTTATGGGCCATCGGGGGGAGCGCGGCCCATCTTTTTTCTTGATGCTTGATAATATTTCAACGCTCCACCCCGGGAAAGGGCGGAAGTCCGGCCCGGAAGATATTGCCAGACTCGTCGATCACCAATCTACGGATATCTTCCGACGAATTGCTATCCCGAGATTAATCGTCGATCGACGCGATCGTAAATCGTTTCTCGAACCATCAGAGTATTCGTAAATGGCGATTGCAAGGATTTCATTTTAAAACGATTCGAAGCGAACGAGACGTACAACGTTCCGTCGTAATGCATTATAATTTGTTTCCATCAGAAATTATGGTTTTATGTGTAAAAGCGACGGTTTAAATTTGAAACACATCGAGTAGAGTGCGTCAATTATTACCGAAGCGTAGTCGAACCACTTTGAACGTAATCGAGAAAGGGTAACGATATTTAATCGGGTACGGGCGGCGAATACAAATTGTCGATTTCTCGGCGAGAAGCTAGGAAGTGTCTTCCGTAACGACAAATAATGGTCCGCGATCGATCATGTCCCGGGTTTTATAGAGGTCTTAAGCGCGTACGTTCGAGCCAGACGATACGGGAAGTCTAATGAACTCGACGCGAGCCTCCACGTCCACCCCCGACTCTTCGAGGTTCCTACAAAAATAACTTCGCCCCATCATGCAGATTTATGAAACGAAACTTTTTCTAATGTGGAAACTCCCTGCCGGGCTAATCGACAAAAAACGGTATTAAATCACTGACCGATCTTTCCGACGATTTTCAACACCGAACGATGGCCACGTTTGTGGGAAAGATACGTCTTTCTACGCGTGGGAGTGCATTTAAGGAATTACTTGGATCAATTAAATCGTTTCGATGTAGGTCCGGTCGTGGAGAAAGCAGAACACGATTTGCAGTTTCAAAACGCTATCCCTCCCAAGTAGTATGACCAAGCGTTTGGCGCGGCGCGATGGAACTTCTCAGGAATCACAAACTTCGAAACTAAACGTGTAATTGCTGTAACAGTGAATCCCGACGTGAATATCTTGATTTGGACGGAACTATGCACCAAGAAGACCGAAGCAATGACAAAGCGAATACGTTTTCGTGGATCTCGTCTGATTCGCAAATTCACGGAGAAACGAACGCGGAATTTGGTGATCACCGTGGATTTTTATATAAGAAAATGAACTAGGTTCTGGTTTCCAGATATAAATGGTAACTTCGCGTTTTACGTTCAAGCGATACTTTCTTTCCAGCATTATTAAGCGGCGGCCACTTATATTCGTCGGGCCATTATAGTTCTCCGGAGGCAAATAACCGCAGAGCTTACCCCGGTGGTATCGCTCGCTTTCATAAATCGAGCCACGGGATTCTACCCAGCTTCTTAAACAAAGGGTGAACGAATGTTGCGAGCGCTGGTTAAGAACGGCCGCGAAGGGAGACGAAGGGCTTGATAATGAGCCCAAGGAGATGTACGAAGGCATCGTGGAACAAATCCGCAATTACGAATGAATGACGAAGTGCTCGGAGATATCAGCAATTCTTTAGGAATCATTGTGAGATATGAAGTTTAATTTATTCTGCCTCTTTCTTAATTAAAGAAATATCGCGAAAGAATAAAACGGTTTCGATGAAAAGATCGAGGAAACAAAATAATTTCGTATTAAATGTTTGACGTTTTAAAGACTCACAGTTTTGTAGCCGAAAACTCCGACAGGCCTTTTCGACGATGCTCGCCGGGTCTGTAAAAAAAAAAGAGGGGAGACTGATTAGCCGAAACAAACACCGGAGATTTTATCGAAATTATTTCGCCCACGCTACGGCAAACAAGTTTCTTCCCGTGCCGCTCGGTATTAAAAATTCAAAGGTGCGTTCGGAATGGACAGGCAGACACGACAAGAAGGAGAGAGAGAAATCGAAGTTCCGACTCGGTTGCAGAGGAAAGAGCACCCCTGACCTTCGAGCACCTCCAGAGACGATCGTCTCTACCCTCTTACGTCCCCGGGGATTCTCTGCCTTTCCCTCTCGACAAGAAGTTTCATTCGTCTGCCACGCTTTCAGCCGTTCTCCCTTCGGAACCGGTAAAGAAATGTATTATATCGACCCCGAGGAAATAGTGTCGGAAACACCGAACCCTTCCGTGAGCGTACCTTGTGCGTTGCGTGATACCGGGATAAACGAAAAAGGACACTTTCCTATTTAATCGCCTTTAAAATTTAAGTCGACCAGCGACCGAAGCAACGAAGTTCGATACGTGATGCACGTCCTTCTTCGATTACATTTAAAATGGTTCATTTATTTACATTTATAGGAACTCAAAGAGAAAGAATGCGAAATATAAAATATATATATATACTTTAGATTTTGAAGGCATCAAATTTTCTGGATTATTGCACGAATCACTGTTCTGTCCCATCTAAGGCATGTATAATCGACTATACGTCAAAATTTAATTTTAATTGACATACTAAGGTAAAAATAGTTTTTCGAGACGCATAAATGTGTGCGAGCAGCGTTCGATAACGGGTGAATGAAGAGCAAAACTGAAAGCTGCCTGGAACTAACGAGAACCAACGACTATCGACAGCTGTCAACAATACCTAGAGCATTGACTAGGCATACGAGTAGATTTACCCCCAATGTATTTTCTGTCTTCTGTCTTCCGGGGCTCTAACGTCCCATTACGATTTCCGTGTCATTTACAATACTATTAATAAATTATGGACAGCAATTCTAGCACTCAATACAGTAGACAATCCGATAACGTATTCGAAAATTTGCTAAATTCTGATTAATAGATGAATATAAACAAATCTAGGTATTTTTACTTTACGATCCTTAACCAAATTTCCAATTCATGAGGTCGAGAGTTACCGTCTCCTACTTTCAATAATTAACTTTTCGACAGATGGAAATGAAGTTCTTTTGAAATTCCTACGTATATTTAAATCATTAAAAGAGATCTACGTTTGATGAATATTTATTTAAGTTAATATATTTGAAGCGCAGGTATTATACTAAATTTTATGTACAATCGACTAATAAAGTCTTCAATTGCGTTTCAATAAATCTTAAATACACGTTAGTTTAATTATGACCGAATCTGTACAGATAAATTTTGCTTTGCAACATCCGAGGAATACTACGGGATGAAAAATAGGTATCCGTAAATTAACTAATTTCAAGCTACATTCGTAAATTCTCTCAATCTCCCATAACAAACATCGCGGACCGAGCTGACAGACTCCACGGTATGTATCGAATGAAATATTATGTTTGTTCCAAAGTGCGAGTCATTCCTGATCGTGAATACGCTGAAACAGTTTCATAATTCCTCGTAATACATAAATCTTGTTTCACCGGCCCGTCATATTTTATACCGCGCCACTGTAATTCATCACATTTTCATATTTTTCCAAAACCCGCAGCAAAGTTCCCCATTTAAACGTTCTAAGCGTCTCGCGATAAATATGTGAACAACAATATTACGCGTCTACGTATCATAGTTTCAACCATATCCCCTTTCGACCATATCCCCTTTAGACCATATCCCTACTTCGCAATCTTTTGAGTTTATCAAAAAATTAATAAATAGGAAGTGGATTTCCTAAACGATAAAATTTAATTATCCTGTTAGCCTTGCGCCATGTGAACAATGACGCATGTTTCAACTTCGTTTGCAGTTCTTATCCTGTCGATAAGAAATACAACTATAATTAATTTTACATTTCTGACGCGTGATCCTATTTTTTAATATGCCATCCTTTTCTCTTTTCGATGTATTCGAGGCAATCGACCGCCTCTTCTATTCATCGAATATATAATGTTCAATTGAAACGACATACATGGACGAATTTCCAGACCCGGTAATGGCCACGAGAGCAAATGGTTCCATCGCAGCTGGAATTAACGTTACGTTACAATTAATATCTAGTCAACGAAGCGTTCGCGTGCTTTTCCGCTTTTAATCGGACGACGCCGGAAGAACGGCAACGGCCGACTATCAATCGCGATGCACTCGTGCCCATTTTCATGACATCTTTCTCTGTACGAACGACGACAGTATGCAGCTCTTTACGAATTTTTATCGCCGCGCCAGAATTTTATTCAATTATAAAATTGTTTCATTTTGCATGTATAAAGAGTTCCAGAATGCATGATTGTCCTCTTTAGGAAAGAGAATGAAATTCTAAATAAAACGTTTGCTTTCCACTTTTTTCTGCAATTTCTATTAACAAAGTTATTAACGAAGAAAGAGGGCCGACGGTGGCTGTCCGTATTTACACCGCGACGATATTTTTAATATCGCCAATTTGAATATCGAAAGATCGGCTGAAACGCACACAGGCAATTTCGAAAATGCATTCGACATCTTCATCCTCGGTTCTCCACGATATTTTTCACACCTCGCACGTCTTCCATTAGGTTCCACCGCGAACAGTTCGACTACGTGCGCGTTTGTGCCCGGTTACACACACCCCTATTGCGTTCTCGCTGGGAAATTCTCGCCTTCTTCTTCTTCTCGCGTGCCCGGGCCATTTTCTTTCGAACGTTTTACCTTGCAAATTTCCCTGGCACGCACGCGTCCACGCCCCCGCGCTCGAACTTTCCCGTGTCTCTCACGTATTACTCGCACACGGTTACATGTAAATAACGTCTGCGTGAACGATTATTAAAGCGGCTATTATGCGAGCGCCTATCGGCACGAAGATCTGCGTGCGATCACGGACTGCGTATACGAATAGATCTATCAACTTTATATATCTTCTCGTCTCCAAAGCCAAAGCTATTTCTATGTCAGATACCTTATCAACAGATTGTGGCAAGCAAAATCTTCTATTAAAATCGTTTTACAAGTGTTTCGAATCTAATTACAATAATTTATTGTAAAAATGGTTGAGATCAATAAACGAATGAAGAAAGGTCTTATTTTTATTTTATGCAGCGGGTACTCAAGGCCAGGGTTCATCCCTTTTAACATAGAATGACTACCTGCGATGATTAATAAGTCCTGGAGTGGTAGAAAAATTGTAGCCTCTGATTGCAACTGTGATCGACTAACAACGCTCACTTTTGACACGAGGAAACTTGTTATTACTTCCCGAACTTTGGGAACATCGTACGTTCACGGCTTCCTTAATTTCCAACACGAACTTCCTGTTCCCCAAATACTTCGAAACATACAGAAAAGAGCAATTCCGGGAAGGATCATCATTATTAGCCTGCGGGTTTCTACGCAAAATGAAACGTTAATTTTATCATTTAAGTATAGTAATACCGATTTAACTTTTAGTATTCCGTCCAGTTTTGCACATTAGCAGCGCTTGAATTCCTGGCGTAGTCGATATTATAAATTTTTCTCTATCTACTTTTTTATTCTCCTAAAATCCCGTCTAATAATTATCGCATAGAACAGTATGAAAGTTCATGAAAATGAATGCCAGGCATTTCACGAAATAACGATACGTACGTTGATCATTGTAAACTGGGAAACGTCTACTATTTCTGAGGGTAATCAAGTTTCTTTTCCACAAAGTAATTCATACTTGAAGGCCTTATCTACCGCCGCGTGTCATCAAATTATGCTCGTCCCCTGGGGGAGAGTAGACAGCCCGGTCTAAATTATGTCAGTCACATCTGGACCGCCAACGTGAAGTGGACATTCTTCACGAAATGAAATGGCTCGCTTAACTTAAATACGTTAAGAGAATTTCCGTGAGCAAATGGAAACCGAAATCTTTCTACGACTAAACAACATTGTTATATTACGACATACGTAATTAATTGAAAAGGAGATTTTAATTTTGATTTTAATTCTCTTAATGATTTATAGAATTAACGATAAGAGCGGAGCTCGTTACAGGAATTGCATCCATATCAGGAGCATAAGAAAAGCGTCGACGAAAAGGCAAATTGGAGGATCAGCGATGCGAACATAATACGCGTAACGCGCATAATGCACGCGTATCGGTAATAAGGAACGGGCTCCGGCAATTAGTACTGAATAAATTAGAGGGTCGTTAATCCCGGCCGGCTACGCTAAAACAGCTCGGGACTCGGTAAAACCGGAAATGAACTGCAGAAATCCACCTCGGCCAGGAGAATTGCAGAAACTCTATCGATCGTTTCGCGCGAAAAGATGGGCACCGGTTACATCTTAATTCTCGCGAGCGTTTCTACGCGGGAATGCAATAATCGTACGTTAAACGTGACGCGACTCTACCCATATAATTAATGTCGCACGAGGGCGGTCGAGTGTCGCGTTACAATGCATTCGCAATGCCGCTGAAGCGCGTAATTACCGTGAGTTTGTCTTGCCCGGTGACAACGTGCGCTAAATTATTTCAAAAGCGTTTTTTCCTTTTTTATTAAAAGAAAAAATACAAGAAGAAGAGGAGAAATCTTGCAGCGACGTTTGTTTCAGATTACAAGAATGGAGCCTTCGGTCGATAGGAAATCTAATTGTAAGTGACACGATTCTGTACACGACGTGTTGGAGATATACTCATTGGGTAACGTGCCTTATCTGCTGGATGCAAGTTCTTCGACAACGTTATTATTTTACTTTCCGTTCATTGCATCGCTTCTGAACGGGTTACGGTTTCGTTCACGATGAATGTATAAAAAGATGCTGTCGCCAGATCTGACTACACGGATCTCAGATTAAACTTCGTTCTCGGGAGACCTTTTGGGTTACTCGACGTTCATTTTGATTGACTGTACGATGATGATGGATTCGATG